TAGGGGGCTGGAGCGTACCCCGCCGCAGCCGGAGGGTTGATGGGGCCGCCACTCCCAAGTGCTGAGGGCAAACTAAAGGACGCGCTGGGGGTTCCTGTGAGGAAACCCTGCTTCTCAAAAGACTGTGGGGGTCAGATCAAGACACTTTTGGTGACCAAGTTAATCCAACAAAGAAAAACGTCATTTTGACGAGCATGCTCACCTGCGTCTTTGTGTAAACAGACCCTGAAATGTCAGGGACTCCTGTGTTGCTTGATGTCACAGAGACACCTAAAGCAAAAAAGTAAAAAAACACAAAATGGTGATCGCTGAAAGCAGCAAAACATCAGTTAGCTTGAGACAGACTGACCCTATAATGCTGACTTGTGTATGATTAGTAGTATGAAATTGATAAATCCAGTAAATGAGGAATGCATATTTAAAGACGGAAGCATAGAAATGTTTTCCTCTAAGAGGATTTTTGGGAAAATTGTGTGTAAAAAATGCTCATTATCTGTGGCTCCACATTCATAATTTCAAGGCTAATCTGAGGCAAAAACTAAAAATTAAAAGAAAAACCACACACAGACAACACTTGTAAATCGATTTGCACGAGGCGCAAAATGGTACACAAGCAATAATTACAATAATAACACTTAAAACTAATAACTGAACCAACCCAGATGAGTTAAGTGTTCTTAAGACTGAAAAAGTGGCTGAAGAAACAGTAAGATGTCTAAAGAAAATCAGTGAAGAGTCATTGAGGATGGGGTAAATTCCCTTAAGCATATAATTATGATTACATTTGAAAACAATGCTCTCCGCAATAAACCACAAGACACTACAGGGATTAAAGTTCTGTCAGTTAATAAAGACAGTCACTTGCTTCATTCCTGAATGATTCAGCCGTTCGAACGAATCAATTGAATGAATGATTCAGTGATAAAATCAGTGACTTGCCGCCACCTGCTGGTGGATTTAGTTTCATTTTTAGCCATAATTTCAGTTATTTAAATCATATTTCTGTATTAAAAATTGTATATTTAAAACAATCTCCTCATGAATTTAATTTCACTCATGCTACCTCTGAGCCTCATTAAACGTCTGAAAATGTACGTACAAGCCACTTTTGTGTGCCACCTCTGTAGTACAAATATGATATTTGTCATATGATGCGATTTAAATTTTTCCTATCTCTTTGGAGTGTTACAAGCTCTTGGTGCATAAAGAAGATCTGTAAAGTTGCAAAGACTAAAGTCTCAAATCCAAAGAAATATTCTTTATAAAAGTTAAGAGTCAGCCACACCTACCTAAAACTGCTCGTTCTAACACGCCCCCACATGTCTACGTCGCTATGTGGGAAGATTTGCATAACGCCGCCCAAATGTTCATGCAAAGAAAGGCGGCATAACTTTTATTCTCGCTGTAGTAATGTTGTTGCCGCCACTGCCGCCATGTCGTGAAGGCGCTGTGTTTCGTTGTGAAAGCGAAACTACTTTGTTTGGCCTTCCAAAATTGGACGATATCCGCTTCATCATGCCTAGAGCTGATCTGTGCTGGTCGCTGAGGGAATAAATCAACTTTCACCGTGGACAAAGCGGAGTCCAGCCCG